ATATGCCTGCCGCCACGGCATTTACGAAAGTGTCTCGAAACCTATATTTGCCGTCTCAGTATAACAAGTCCGGCTTCAATCACAACTAGGTCAGCAACTCGCATGCACTATGCAGTTTTTCACTACACACCCCTCGTGCATGTTGTGCTGACAAAAAAAAATATAGATGTAGGACTGCTCATTATTATATACGTGAAACGTATACCATATATCTATTGCTAAATAATCCACAAACTGTCTTATACCGCCTTTTCCTTGGGCCCTAGTGCGCCCTGGAGTCTGGCACAACGTTTAACCAGTTTTACTGGAATTGGAGATCTGCCAGGGAAAAGGACAAAGCGTTTTCGGGCCTCGAGTTAGAAACAAACACAGATGAACACAAGTGTCTAGCAAGTTCGTGATTTTCCCCATATTTCATTGGATCGAGTTTGCGCGAGGTTTACAGACGGAATGGCGTGAGCTTCTACGGCAACTATTTCGCTATATTTGCGACAAAACAATGGAGCATTCAACATACCTGTGTTCTGCCGAGATTGTGAGCCTCCTACCTGAGTCTGTAGCTGATAGACCGTCCGCGTAGTAGCCCGAGACGTGTTCGCAGGATTCCCCAGTTCTTCCAAACCGGCGCTCTCGGGTCGATCGGTGCGCTTGACTGGCGCAAAACTTGAGTAATTGTCGCTTGAAGGCCCGTTGCAAACTCCGGTGATTGGAAAGCAGAACTCTGCCAGACGCCATAGCCAATTCGTACAGGCAACCACTCAAAACGCGCAACACGAACACAAAATAACAAAAAATATTCAAAGCGCACGTTGTCGTCGTTTGGACGTCAGACTTGGAATGATAGATGTCACCTACTCCCATTGCGCCATCCCCCCGGTCATGTGACGTCAGAATACCTGGTTCCCAAGTTGCTAACCTTGGTTATTGCATAACCTCATGAAAATTGTCTATTAATACAACTGTGTTTAGGTTTTCGTGTTGACAGACATTTAACAGAACTAGACCAGGTGCAACGTTTGATTACGTTGTGATTGATCGCTAACTTTACTCTGAATGCGCTTGAGCTTCTTCACGAAAGCTCCGTTGTGCGGTCGGGCTAGGCACGTTTCTAGCGAACTAGGATGATTTACCACTGCCGTGTGGTAGTTATATAAAGCATAACACCCCAAGCGCGTAAATTATTAGCAGCGGAATCCGCGGTTGTGCTTTGCCTCTGAAACGTTTAGTTGTCCGAATGATCGGCGCCATGTAAACCCACAAATCGCGCGACCTTGACGTGACTATGGGTTGTGAGCACCGCCGTATAGCTATTATAAAACATACTACCCATTCTATAACCGCGTTCTTTATTTTATGCGCATTAAGTTTCAGCACCACCGTTGTGCCCTCAAAGGTAAACAGGGGCAGCTTCGTTCTTTATTTATATTTTAGCTTACACCGCCGAGCATGCTGCTAACTGTGGGAATAGTCTCGGATTCCGCCGCAACATTAATATATACCATCAACAAATGAACAACAAACATACCTGTACTCTGGCGAAGAGAACTATCGCCTACCTGACCGGGTTTTTTTTTGTTGGTTTTTTTTTACGAGCGAAACTTGCGGTAGGTTTCCCATCATCTCGAGTTGCGACGCTCCTTCCGTTGGTGCCCTGCCAGTACGGTTAGAAACCTGCGATACTGCCGTCTGAACTCTGAAGCCCGATCACGAACTCTGGTGATATGTAGGCAACAGGACGAGCCAATTTAAAATCTTTGTTCCTAATATGTTTACTACGCTTCCAACGCACAATGATTACTAATACCACCAATGCGCGGCCAACCTCTTATTACATACTCGCCCGGCCCCCTTTTGGTCACATGATGTGCCGACGTAATTAGGCTTGGTTCCCTAGCTGTTAACCTTTGTTATTGCATAACCTCATTTAACGACTTAAACCCCTTTCGAACAGCTGGCCCCTGTCTGGAAAGTTTACAGTCAGAATACAAAAAGTGTCCCACTTCCGCTTCTGTACTGAGTCTGTTAACGTTGTGAATTACAGTAATTTGTTCTGTTTTTCTGTAGCGGTTACCGATTTATCGGCAAATACCGCGATAAAATCTAGTTTTCTTTCCTTCATATCATAATTTGTAGGAAAAGATGCATTTTTCATTAGATTCAAATTGTAGCGAAATTCAGTAAATTGTATCGCGATATTTTTCCGGCAAATCGGTATAACCGCTGCAGAAAAACAGAACAAATTACAGGAAATCACAATAGACTACAGAAGAGGAAGTGCATGGGACACTTTTCGTATTTTGACTGTAATTTATTGAAGGTTTTTATCGATTTTTTTCGGATCGTATCGTATAGCGCTTTAACAAACTCGGATCGGATTGGATTCGGATCAGACAATTTCAGATCGGATTCGGATCGTAATTGTAAACCTGTCGGATTGTAAACCTCCAATCCGGTCCCGATGCACACCTCTACTATAAGGAGTAATAAAAATCATTTTCACTACGGTTGATATTCGATTCGATTCTCACACATCATTAGATACTAGCATTTCGGCCAATGAAGTGTCTTCAATTACATCACGTGTATATATACTTGCAAGGACACCCCGTCTAGACCAGGAGCTTAATTAATTCAAGTAGGCAGAGCTTTAAAACAGAGAAATTAACGCACAACAATTAATAATGTAAATTTTAATTAAAATCCTAGTATTTGAACATGATAATTGCAATTACAACAAACAGTATTGATTTATCTAAAACAAGACGTGTTACTGCACAAAAACACCAATTACAAACTAAGCAATATCCAACCTTATCAGTGAATTCTTAATAGCGGTCAACATACATATTTGCTGCTACCTCACCGTTTTCCTCCAGATGTCGTTTCAACGAACACATAATTTGGTATAAAGTTTTTGCTGGATATGGCTCACTATATCTTTGTCGCTAAACTCCTGAATAAACTTCATGGGGCAAAAGTTCATACTTTTTACGGAAATATATATACTCATGCACAAGCTTGTGTTTTTGATCTAGATTTTGCAAATCGGATACATCCAAGTCAAACGGATTTTTCTCTGCCATAACTGCTTTATTCTCATGTCCAACCTGCCACTCTTCAAAAATATCGGAACTGGCTTTTTTACGTTTTACTATTCTCGACAGTTTGAGGTTTTCGAAATCGTCTTTTCTTACACTCCGAAGCCATGTTTATTTTCTAAAGCGCGCAGTCCCTTCTATAAGAAGATTGCTTATCTATCCTGCATGAAATACACATTCTGTTTTACAAAAGGAACAACTCAAACGTATATAGGTTGTTGTTTGTGCATGATCTCAATGCAAAATGAACATCTATGCGTGGGAAGCAATTTCAAAACCTCGTTGTTATTTTAGATTACTTAATTGCATGGTTGCCAAATCCCATGTGCCGAAACTTTGGTTCATGGATTTAGAAACCACGCCCATGTACATCGGATTTGAAATATTCGTCTTGTGATAAAAATTAAATTTTACAAAGATATTGTCAGTCAATGACGATTCTATTTTTTAAACTATATGTAGATAATAATAATTGATTCTTAATAATATACGCAGTTTTAATGCGTGCTTTTTTTCATTGCCATTGGCCTTTTTTTCTTTTACAGCTATATCCCGAGGTTAACATGAAAACAGGAATGAATTGCTCATTAATTCGTAGTAGACAGGAATGCATGTGGTTAAACATTTATATTTGACTTTTTATTATTTCGTATATACAATGCTTTTCATGTACTTGCATATTTTTAGTTGTAATGTACATTTTAATATGTAAACCTTTTTCAATTTTGAATAAATGAAAGTCTGTTGCTCAAATTGGTCACCGTTCACTTATTGTGATTTATATTTTTCGTCACGATTTTCTATCCCATGCAGTATCGGCACCTATATAGAGTACCAAATGAATACTTATATATGTTAAGTGGATTATAACAATTTCACCTGGGTCTAACAAATGCAAGTGTGCAGTTGCTGGCGGACATGAGGCTAATAATGGTCGGCCAGCTTTTCAATATTTACATTGATTTGTCGTGCTGATCGTATCACTTCCCGCGTGACCTTTATCTGCATGACCATTCATACTAAAAACTTTTGGTAAGTCTCAACGATCAATGCAACCGAAACGTCTTGGTTCCAATTGTTTTTTCGAGTTTTCTGCACGTCACAATTCCGAAAAAAATATTTGTTCATTTATTAAAATGTATGCTTTCTGAACAGTACTTAATTTAAATTGAAACAAAATTAATATAGCTGCATAGTACTGACGGGCAGCAGTTATAATTCACACTCATGGATTCTCGCTCTGGAAAGGTGCTCGAATTTTACAAAATTCATGTGAAAATGGCTAATGATAACATGGCAAAACCCTAGTATTTATTTAAGGCCCAAAACAGTATTCTGTTTCTCGTCATGCGCGTCAACGGTTTTTTAAGGAATTTTCTTCTTTTTGATCAAGGAAAGCTACTGAAATTTTGACACGATATTTTACATTATGTTTGTGAATACATATTTTAGTACTCAAACGTACTGCATGTTTTTGGCATGAGTTTTGTGGGAGAATAAAGCATATTCTTGTGATATTTCTTATATTTGAAATCTGCCTGCGCTAGCATGCAGCTTTTTGTGGTGGAGTAAAACATTTGAAAGGTTTATGGGTATATGACCCCGCCCTACATCCTGACTAATTATTATACTGTAACTTGGAGTCTAGCAAAATATTATCATTCTCTATATGTCAATACCTTATTAGTTAAGGTCAGATTTAAGAGGTATTTCAATGAACCAGAAATCTTACTTGTCCAATGTAGCAATCTGTTGTCATGTGGTTAAGATGGCCTCAGATGGTAAACAATTCCTAACAACACCGTCAGATATTGTCTGATTGTGCCCAGTGGTCCAATATATTATGGTCATTGTCAGGTCGTGCTTATATATATATACAATCAGTGACAAAACAATTTGGACAAAATAGCAAAAGAGCGTACATTTACAACACAATCGACCCCCGCACCGGCCCCCCCCCCC